CCCCCCCCCCTGCGACAATTACCAAGGTTTACCACTCATGGTCTCCTAAAGGCGCGGAGCGATTTGTGGACCTGGTGAAGGATGATTATTTCACGGACGTGGCTTTGTTCCGATGTGTAAAGAACTTCCTCGTGCAGTTCGGCATCTCGCCGGACGCGTCTTCGCCGAAGAAGAAGTTCTGGAGAGAGCAGGGGCCCATAAAAGACGATCCCAACCTGCGCATTAGCTTCAAGAGGTGAGAGTCGTACCCTTCGCTTTCTCCCTGGCTCCTGAGTCTTGAAATACTCGGCATGCTTTCTGGGTGATATGAGGATTCTCTCTGACGTTCGTGCCGTCTTTGATTAATGGCAACCGAGAGGTTTGACAATCCTTCCGCTCGTCGATGTTCAAGTCGAAGTATGCGAAATCGTGAGAGGTCGAGCATGCCTGGCGCCATACCTATTCAAGCGACTGTAAGAAGAGGTTGCAATGTTCATGCTACTTTCAATACTGTTTGGTCGCTCCTTCCTTTGGGCGGGGCGTAGTTTCTCGAGCACTCATCTGTGCGGTCAGTGGTAGCCCTTCGCGCCGGTGGCCGGTTGCCAATTCCAGAGGGTCAGGGTTAGGGTTAACACGTGTAAAACAATTATGTATTTTTTTTGGGGGGGGAGGGGGTGTACTCATAGTCGTGCATGCCGTAGTCGTTACACCATTGACCTCGCATCACTACAAAGCCGGAACGGAGCACGCCGAAATCTCACCGGACCAGGCTCTCACATCACCAAGCGCGAAGCGCCGTGAGGTATTCGGCGAGTCGCATGAAGGGTGCGCTGCATCCTGCTAAGGGTGTTCGGCATCTTGTGCTTACTTCCTTGCGTACGAATGACAGCTGCGTATGACATAATATATTTTCTGGTGCCTTCACTTCCAGAGACAGTTCTAAGCACTGTGTAACTGCCTCGAGGGTTCTTGACCACAACATGGTGCGATCATCCCCCTTGCGCGGAGTGAGGGTTCTCCACCCCGCACAACATGTTCTACTCGACCACCATTGTGGTTACCGCCAAAAAGAAACCAGAGGTAAAAAAAAAACGGTAACCTGGTTGCCGAGTTCACGAAG